AAAGGTTCCGTTGTAAATCAGGCATTGCCATCTTTGCATAGAGTCACATGAAATTACGCTTACAGTTCCCTTTAAAGGGTTGGCAAATTCAATTCTTAAACTTTTCTTAACCTTAACTTGAACATTTGAGTTAATATGGAGGTTAAAAAAATACTTTTAAAAATGATTTATTTATAAAAATTTAAAAATTAGTTTTCAATTATAAGGTTTAAGAAGTTTAAGCGAACCTATTTCAGGTTAGGATAGGGTTGATGTTTTCAGGTTAGGATAGGGTTGATGCTTTCAGGTTAGGATATGGTTGATGTTTTCAGGTTAGGATAGGGTTCATGTTTTCAGGTTAGGATATGGTTCTTTCAGGTTAGGATATGGTTGATGCTTTCAGGTTAGGATATGGTTGATGTTTTCAGGTTAGGATATGGTTGATGTTTTTTTTCTGAAATTTTTTATATAAAGTTAAGACTTGAGTTAGACGAGCAAAGATATTTATTATTTCTGACTTCTTTTTTCAGACTAATTTAGTTGGTTGGCGATGTGCATGCTGGTGCTTTACTGTTTGAATTAAAAAAAGTATAAACAATTGATTTATAATTAGACTTTGGCTGGTTCATCCCTATTTTTATTTTTGCCAATATTCACATTTAAAATTGGGATTTTTCTGAAATGTTTACAAAAGTTATAAAATTCAATGGAGGGGAATTGAGAGTATAATAAAAGAAACATTTCAATAAAAGAAAATCCGTTTGATGTGATTCCCAGTATTATCTGTATTCCCTTCGACAAATATAAATTCTATGCCAGGCACAAATTTATTATTTCATCCATGAGCTGTGGTAACTGGTAAGGCAGGGGGGGGGGAGGAAGGATTTTAAATCCATTTCTAGGATTGGATTCTGCTCTGATATGGGCGACAGGGAATCATTACTAAGCTTAGATGATATTCTATTTAGATTTATATATTCCATAACTATACAGCGTAGAGGGTAGAGTGTACAGTGTACAGTGTACAGTGTACAGTGTACAGTGTACACCGTACAGTGTACAGCGTACAGTGTAAAGATCTGTACTTTACTCTTCTGTACAGTAAAGTATATGTAAGTAATTTCGGTAAGTAATTATCTTATTTACACACAGCTGCAAGAAATTAGTAAATTCTCCATTTTATTAAAACTTTCTGTATCCTTGATAATGGTAAAATAATAAATTGTGAATGAAAAGTATTTGCAGTGACAAGGGAGACAATATTTTACTTAAATATACCACAAGACTATAATCAAAGGGGCGATACAACTTTGTTACCAAAAGAAATTAAAAACTCTAAGTTATCACCCTAAATCTTTACAAATATTTCCAGCAGAGATCTTCTACAGCATCTCTCTCTCTCTTTTCTAGTTTCCACATAAAAATGGAATACTTTTGACGCCTTTAATTCCCAGGATACAGAGGTTTCCACATAAAAATGGAATACTTTTGTCGCCTTTAATTCCCAGGATACAGAGGTCTCCACATAAAAATGGAATAATTGGGGCAACTTGAAGCCAGAAGTTTTTTAGTAAGTTGAATTGTATATGAATAAATAGCACGTATTTTGGCTTATTGATAATCAATTATACAACTAAAGCAGTATGTTTGTAAACCTAATAATGCCGTGTTAACACCTCATAAACCAGTTTTCTCAACATTTTGAGATTTCATAATTGTTTTCTAACTTTTTTATTTTCCCGCCAAAACTCGACACATTTCTGGAAATGCAGTAAAATAGACTTTATCTTATTTTGCATTATAAATAAACTCCAGTTATAAGTCATAATGTAATTTTCTTTTTAAACTCCCATGCATTAAAACATATTTGCTGTCAGATTTGCTATCATATTTTCTGTCATATTTGCTGTCATATTTGGTATACAAAATTAGAGGAAAATAATTTGACTTTAGTAATATAATAGACTAGCTGGAGGGCCCGGCGTTGCCCGTGGATAAAAAATTTTAAACAATTTTTAGCCTTTAACACTCCCGAGTCACCTATTTCAGACCTATCGGTTCAGCCGTTTGGCCGGCTATACGCAACATATATATATATACGAACGTCTTGTTTTATTATATAGATGATAAAAAAAATCTATTGATGAATAGTTTGCATTTATGTTTTTTTGGGGGGTTTTAAGACCAATACTCACTCTCTCACACACTCTCTTACTTGCAATTTACTCATCTTAGATTAGATTTGATTAGAATGTAAAGGGAGTCCCAAAAAACATGGGAATTCAGTGACGAATTCGATATCGTCTTTGTTATGAATTAGCATTGTAATACCTAATTTCAAAAGCCATAATATTATTATGTCTGCTAGAGTTTATTTTATGACAAGGGTAAAAGACTGAAAAGATGTGTCTATAATGTCTCCGCTAGATGAACAGTGAAGACGGACAAGTTTACTCTGTTTGTATATTGCAATTTTCTTGTATTACTAAGTACAACCGTGTGCAGTCAAAACATAAACAAACAAAATGTGAACATTGCAGACGAAACTCTTACAGATTACAGCTTTCTCAGTTGGTATCACTATACTAAATCAAAGAATTATTTGAAAAGACGATATCGAATTCGTCACTGAATTCCCATGTTTATTGGGACACCCTGTAGTACATGGTGTCCCAGGAAACATGACAGTTGGCGAATGGTTTTGAATGTCTTCTTCCACATATTATTTTAGATATTAAAGACTTTTTGCAGTTTATCTCGTTAGCAAAATCTATTATTTAAATATATTTTACTATGAAATCAATTTTACTATATGCCATGATATATTTCTCATTAATGATAATTAATCTCTTTTGTAATAAAGAACTTGACAAATTATGGAAGAATTATTCACCAACTGTCATGTTTCGTGGGACACCCTGTATTTAATTTCTAAAAACTACAAAAACAGAACAAAAATTAAAGGAATATGATTGAATAAATTCCGTGCAATAATCTTTGAATTCTCAACCTTTGTGGGCATACCTGTATGATAGCGTGTTTCAACCTTAGTGATAAACCCTGTATGAATACGTAGATTGTAGCAATGTGTATCTTCCTGTATTTTCCATCTTGTTCTATATATCCTTTGATGAGTTTAATATGCAAATACAACACTCTAGAGACTCTAGAGACACATATTCGGTAATAAGATTCTAAATATAAACACCCTGTATAATATGTTTATATATATTCATATCCTCAACCATATATACCCTGTATACATAGTCATTCATGAATATACAGACCCTGTATACATAGTCATTCATGAATATACAGACCCTGCATACATAGTCATGTTCATGAATATACAGACACCCTTTATACATAGTAATGTTCATGAATATACAGACACCCTGTATACATATTTATTTTCTAAATATACAGACACCATGTATACATAGTTACATTCATATATTTACATTTACACCCTGTTTACATAGTAATACTTATAAATATACAGACACCCTGTATAGTGAGTACGTAATTATATTCATGAATATACAGACCCCCGTATATTCTATTTATGAATACATCCTGTATGGTTTAATTCTGTAAAGTTTGTATACGTATAGGTTCATAAATCATCAAAATTAATAAGTAAAATCACAAATACCAGCTTATTAGATTATTATTAAAAGTACATATAAATGAGGGAAAAAGATATAATCCGTTTAAATGCGAGCAAACCATCATGCTTGCAATTTTTTTGCACATCGTGGTATTCGTGGTTAATAATTCTGATCAGAGACGTCTACTTTGCCAACCACAGGAATGCAAAAAATTAATTAACTATGATGGATGGAAACCAAAACGGAAACTTTTTGTTGTCAAAGAATCAAGTTTACTTGTCTAAATATCACTGTTTTGTCAGGATATTATAAACATTAAACTGATTGATCGTTTCAAGTCAGGAAACTCAGAAATATCAAGAGACAGAGAATGGCAGGAAGAGTTGATGATACTCTATAACAGAGGCATCAAAATGTCGTCGTTATTTACCACATTGTGTCCCAAATAATAAAAACAATGGCCGTCCTATACGATAGTTTGGCCGCAGGTTATTTCACGTCGAGATTCTTATCTGATAGATATAGTAATAACCAGAAAGCAATGGAATTGGAAGACGACATTATAGCAATACTTAAGTGTATTTCTTATTGTTGCAAAGCAATAGTTTTACCAGAGGCCGTTCTCTTCCTAATAATGTACAAGCAATGTTCGTGTTGTTTCCGTACTTTAGGGTTTGGCCGGTAGATGTCTCTCGTATAAATTATCTATCTATCAGATAAGAATTTTGCGCGATTTTTGAATTCATATTTTATGGATATATTTATATGTTTATTTTTACAAAGTTCTCACTTTCAAGTAATCTTTACTATTTATATATAAATAAAAATTATAGTTTAAATGAGAAATGACTTTGTAAAAATTCAGGGATGGTACACCCCTCCCCCCTCAATTTCACTCAGAGGGGGGGGGGAAATTGACCCCCCCCTGTATCTTTTTTTACATATCGTGCAGCCTTCCCTCCCTTGGTCAACATTGTTGTTAAATAATTTAATATATAATATTATAATAAGATATTGAAGGAATTGATTTTTGTGTAAACCCGTCTGTAATTGTATAGTTATATTAATCACTCAGAGAGTCAGAGATGTATATACGTTTAAGTGCTTCCTAAAACTTTCCCTTTATTACCTGTTCATAAAGCAATATTTTTAAACTAACTTAAATAAAATCAAATTATTCATCCAATTAAGGGAACGTGTTAAATTTGAATAAAAAAAACAAATTGTTTCTTGCTTTTAATGCAATCATCAATTTATTATATATAGATATATAATTTTATTTTAGCAGCATTTAAATTCTAAAACGTTATTATATAAATAATGCAGAAAACGGGATTAATCACAAACAAGAAAAAATTGTAAAAAATTATTTTTCTTTCTAAGTATATGTGTAGGAGGAAAAAAAAAACATTTAACTTGATAATCTTTATTAGTATATGTTCTTGCAAGAAAAAATACATATTATATTTAACTATTTAACAAAATACAGTATAGGGTTTAACTAATCATACGATTGCTTCTATAAATTGAGAGAAAAAATTTATGATTGGGGCCTCAATTATTAACATCCAGCCCTGAATATAACCTTAAACCAACCCTGGTAATAATCCTGAACAGGCCCCGACAATACAAAGGATAAAAATCTCTTGGACAAATTGCAACCAGAAGTTTATAAAGAAATAAAATTATTAAAATCTAAAAACAAAATGTTGACAACATACAATAAAAATGAGAAAAAATGACAAAATTTAACAATTTTAGACCAAAAATGTAGAGCGTCGAGTCATAGAAAAATAACAAAATTCAACATTTTATATCAAAATTATAGGGCCATTGATAAAATCTTTTTCGATACATATGAATTGTTTTTAAAGAACCAAGAACCACATATATCAATGGAGAGGGGGGGGGAAATGTAAAAATGCATTTTTTAACAGTTTTAAACTGGGGTTGTCAGATTTGAATTTAACGTTTAGTTTTATCAAGAACAAAAGAAAAAATCTAATATTTTGTTAACAGTTTTGTTCCTTTAAAACTTTTTAATATTTATACTCAAATCAATCACAGCCTGTTTATATAAAGCAGAGATATAAAGCTGAAAATAAGGAATATTTTCTAAAAAATATTTGCGAACGTAATTTTCATTATTTTTATCATTTTCCATATCCAAAGCCAAAAAAAACTTCTTGAGTCAGAATTTGATGAATGAGAGACAAATAGTTGATCTAAATCTTCCTATTAATAATAAATTATTAGTGCCGACGAGATTAACTAAAGAAGTTAAGTTTAACTAAGTGGATCTGGTTTAGCTAGTTGTCGCTAATCGCTATTCATTAAATCCAACCTCTGAAGAATCGATAAGGCTTAAAAATGTTGGTAAAATTTTAGAGAAAATATTCCTTGGTCATTATGTTTATATTATATATTATTTATATATGTACTGTTTCCATATCACAGTATGTAGGTTTCATCAAAATTAAACGGAAAATAATTTACTAAAATAGTTAAATCGCGTGGAAGTCACTCTGCCCGAATGTTGGGAACGAGGATCGCTAATTTGCCAAAAATCGGGAAATTTATCAAAATCGTTTAACCAGTTCCATCAGGGGGTAAAACAATAAATAAGTCAATTCAGTTAAAAGATTCAAATTTGATAAATTGCCTGATTACTAGCGAGTGTTATTGAATAAATGAAAAATGGCGTCAGCCGGATAAAATTCGAAGAGTTTTCAATTATGAGATAAAAAGAAAACCCACAATCTCAAGATCCGGTTCAAAGGAACTAGATCCGATGAAGACATCTAAAGAATCCGGTAATTGATAATCAGAACGTCTTTAGGATCTGGTAAAAGTGCTATAGGATCCGGTAATTGTGCTATAGGATCCGGTAATTGTGCTATAGGATCCGGTAATTGTGCTATAGGATCCGGTAATTGTGCTATAGGATCCGGTTAGATCGTCTATAGGATCCGGTAATTGTGCTATAGGATCCGGTTACTTGAAAAATACTACCATAGAGTCCATGGTATACTTTAAAAACACGCATTTGGATGTCGGATGGTCTAGATGAATCCGGATCTTTCAAAAACCGGATCTAGATTGATCCGGTTGAGCTGGTGGATGATCTATAAAGTTTCTTCTTCTCCAATCTAAAAAGGAAAACTTAAAACAATGGGACGGTGGTCGGTTGTGATTTCAAGTAGGCTTCAATTTAAAAAAGAGAAAAGAAGAGAAAATGGATATTTAAAGAAGAGAAAATGGATATTTAAAGAAGAGAAAATGGATATTTAAAGAAGAGAAAATGGATATTTAAAGAAAAGAAAATAGATATTTAAAGAAGAGAAAATGGATATATAAAGAAGAGAAACAGGGGTCCATATAATTCCATCAGATCAATCCCAAATGTTCATTGATTGGTATTAGGGGCAGAAATAAACCATGTTGTTATTGTAAGCAATTGGAAGTATAATGTCAAGTTGTAGAAAAAATGCCATACTGCAGAATGTGTACTGCAAGGGAGTGTTTATTTTTCTGTATATTATAATTTATCTCTCATATTAAATACTAATATTTACTTCTTTTAACACCCCAAATGCAGTACACATTTCTGTGTAGTACACGTACACAAAAACTTATCAAAGTTCACAATGACATATAAAGTGTACTTCCATGCCCCTAAATGTACTTTAAACCCTGATCCCATTTGGGATCAGAAATGGAATTATATGGACCCCTGAGAGAAAACGAATATTTAAATCATGTCATGCATTCTTTAATCTTGATCAGACAAACCTTACAAAGTTACTGTTGTGAATTGTGAAATGTAAAATAATGAGGAAAAAAGTGAATAAATAATTCTCTTGAAAGCTTTCATCTTTCTTATACCTGAATTTGCTCCCTAGAAACTTGAGGGCACCATGCCCAGAAAACCGTCTCAGTAAGTTTTCAAATGAAACCTAATTACAAATAAGGTTAAGGGTGCATTTAAAAACATTTTTTTGAACAAAATGACATTTTTATAAAGACTTGTAGATCAATATTTTCGAAAAATTCGTAAAATTAATCCTAATTTTGGTATCAATATCTTAGAGGAAAACCTTGTACATCAATTTGGTTCAGGAAAAAAGTAGTTTTTATTTTATATTTTGTCACAACATTTTTTTTGTAAAATAATAAAATGTGACTTATCGATGTACATTTTTGAGTCGAAAGAAAACAAAATATTACCAAACAAAAATCGGTATCGGTGACATTTTTGACATTCTTTTACCTTGAGATTGGTTGCTTCTATGAGTGTAAGTATGAGTTGGTAGGTTGGAGTGGTAGATGAGTCTAGGGGGAACCGACCTATCTTCTTCTCTAGTCCACTACGATCCCTAAACAAGAAAAATTAAGGTTTGTATTTTAGGATAAGGAAGACAAAACAGGTGCGGTTAAGAAGGGTTATGGGTGAGTGCGCTGCCGCAAAATCCATTTTGTGACGTAATTTGTTCAGAAAGGAAGAAACTCGGGTGCGACGGCGTGCCTTCACCCCCCTTTATGTATAGTACTAAAAATGTTCTAATTTGTAAAACACATATAACCCTCCAGTTTATAGATTAAGACACGATTATTTTGGGATAGATACAGTGAAACCCTTAATAACGAATACATCGGAAGAATTTATCAAATGTCGTCTTGACAATTTTTCAACGAGTTTTATTCTATATTACATAAATTTCAGTGTTTGCGAAAATAAATAAATAGCCATGAATATGCAGGAACAGTTTTAAAGAGTTCCATATAATCATTTAATTAAAACACTAAATATCTGCAACATTCCATTATCAGAGAGTGAAGAATACGACATTTGATGAATTCTTTCGATGTATTCTATATTAAGGGTTTCACTGTATTATGTGCAATTCTAAAATGACAACAAATTCTTAACAGGGCTACACACAAGAATAAAATTAAAATAAATATGAACAGCTGACTATATTGTACTTGAACAGGACTATATTGTACTTAAACAGGACTATATTGTACTTGAACAGGACTATATTATACTTGAACAGGACTATAATATAATTGAACAAGACTATAATATACTTGAACAGGACTATAATATACTTGAACAGATCTATAATATACTTCAACAACTATAATATACTTGAAAAAGCCTATAATATACTTGAACAGAACTATAATATACTTGAACAGGACTATAATATATTTGAACAGGACTATACTATACTTGAACAGGACTATAATATACTTGAACAGGACTATAATACACTTAAACAGGACTATAATATACCTGAACAAGACTTTAATAAATTTAAACATAGATTATAATATATACTTAAAATGTTAGAAATATCCATTTTAGATCTCTTTATTTTATTATAGTGACTTTTAAAGTCAACAAATATACTTCAACAACTATTTTAACTTTATCAATTTTTTATTCATAATTTTTTTATGAAACAAATAATTGATACATGTATTTAATGCAGAATGCAGATACTCATTTTTCCAATCTTCTCGTTTCCTGGCTGTCCTGTTTTGCATTCAATTAGCTGCATACCCCCGCCCCCCAGGAGGGTTAATATGCAGTTTCGAGAGCTGATCAGGCAATTTGTAGTATTTCAATATCAGCTCTTGAGTTTCTATATTTATTCCAGTTGTTTTTGATATCAGCCATCTATGCAGGTTTATTGCTGACATTGTTGTAATGAGAACTTCCCTTTGTCAGCTGCATTACATGTATCAATGTCTTGCAGTAAGTTAGAAAGAAATTAAAAGACCTCCTAGCCTTAACTGCATTCGGCCAGGTTCAAGGTGATTCAGATGTACCCCCTAGGACAGGAACACCCATGATACCAATGATGATCTCTCTCAGAAAGTTTTGATTAAGATTCCACAGCAAAGCAGTTTCTGAGTTCCACTATATCTGCTCGTGAAGTAGGATAAGGTTAGAATTTAGGAGGTAGGCGGATGAGGATGGGGGGTGTTAGGGTAACAGGTATGAGATATACCATAGTCCTCACTTTTAACGTGTATTCCCACGTGGACAGATTTTTTAAAGAAAAATAACCCGCTAAGCATGCTGTCCCATAACTTTAAAACACGGGGAGTGTGTCTTTTGCCTATCATTGTCAGAGGTCTTCCATGAATAATCCAGTTTCCATTTTGAGAAGGGTGAAAAACCAGTTTATGGTATTTGATTTAAAGTCTATTAAAGGCTCTGTTCCCCCTTAAAACCTGCATCAGCGTGTACTTCATCCCTGATGTTTTGAGTTTCTGTATTCCTTCTGTATTCATCTTTATTACTATATCTTGTTCGGGATTAGTCACGCTTTCCACTCAGTTGTGGAGAGAAGTGTCCTTGCTATCCAGACTTCATACTTCAACAACTATAATATACTTGAAAAAGCCTATAATATACTTGAACAGAACTATAATATACTTGAACAGGACTATATTATACTTGAACAGGACTATAATATACTTAAACAGGACAATACTATACATAAACAAAGACTATACTATACTTGAACAGGACTGTAATATACTTGGACAAGACAATAATATACTTGAACAGGACTATAATATATTTGAACAGGACTATACTATACTTGAACAGGACTATTATATACTTGAACAGGACTATAATACACTTAAACAGGACTATAATATACCTGAACAAGACTTTAATAAATTTAAACATAGATTATAATATATACTTGAACAGGACTATAATATACTTAAATAAGACTATAATTTACTTCAACAAGAGCATAATATACTTGAACAGGACTTTAATATACTTGAACAGGACTAAAATATACTTGAACAAGACTATAATATAACTGAAAAGGACTATAATATACTTGAACAAAATTATAATATATTTGAACAAAAGACTATAATATACTTGAACAAGACTATAATATACTTGAACAAGACTATACTATACTTGAACAGTACTATAATATACTTAAACAGAACTATAATATACTTTAACAAGACTATAGTCACTAAAACAAAGACTACAACATACCCGAATAGGACCGTAATATACTTGAACTATAATTTACTTGAAAAAGACTAAAATATACTTAAACAAGACTATAATTTACGTTAATAAAGACTAAAATATACTTGAACAAGACTAAAATATACTTGAACAAGACTATAATCAACTTAAACAAGATTATAATCACTAAAATATACTTGAACAAGACTAAAATATACTTGAACAAGACTATAATCAACTTAAACAAGATTATAATCAACTTGAACAAAGACTACAATATAACCGAACAGGACTATAATATACTTGAACAAGACTATAATGAACTTGAACAAAGACTACAATATAACCGAACAGGACTATAATATACATGAACAAGACTATAATCAACTTGAACAAGACTATAATGAACTTGAACAAAGACTACAATATAACCGAACAGGACTATAATATACTTGAACAAGACTATAATGAACTTAAACAAAGACTACAATATAACCGAACAGGACGATAAAATAATTGAACTAGACTAATCAACTTGAACAAAGACTACAATATAACCGAACAGGACTATAATATACTTGAACAAGACTATAATCAACTTAAACAAAAACTACAATATACCCGAACAGGACTATAATATACTTGAACAGGACTATAATATACCTGAAAAGGACTGTAATTTACTTGAACAAGACATATATAATATACTTGAACAAGACCCTAATCTATATACTTGAACAGGATTATAATATACTTTAACAAGACTATAATAATAATATACTTGAACCAAGACTACAATATACCTGAAAAGAACTACCAAAGTACCTCCACGTACCCCACAAGGTTCACGCTCTCCCTGATAAACCATTTCCTGCACAAACAGATATTCAAAATTTCACGCAAGGTTCTAGATGTCGTCTTTCAAAGTAACATAATTGAAAATAATTTACTATAACCTTTCTTCTCCAATTTCCTCTAAATATGGGTAAAGTGGATTTAATAAAGTCTTATCTCTTTTAAAACAATGACAAGTTAAGAACCCAAGAATATGTTTTTAGTAAAATCAAATAAAATAAAAAGAACTTGAAATGTCGTCTTTCATCGGTCAGCTTAAAGATAATCCTTGCCTTTAATATCTGGAGAGTTGTTTGCGGTGATATAAGGATTTTATCAATTTCGAGAACCTTCTCCAAGCTCTTGATAACCTAGATACACAGGATGAGTCAAAAAAGTGTGTTATTAAAGTTCAGATCAAAGTTCAGAAAAGCAAAAAAGTGTATATATATATTACTTCTAAAATTCTAAAACTTTATCAATTGAATCACAGGAACATAGAAAATTCGCAAAATTGTAATGAGAAAATTCGCAATTTTTAATTTATAAGGAAAAGTTATTTAAATGTTCTAGTTACTTTCTTCTTCCTATATTCTAAAGTTATAAATATGCACTGTTCAGTTGGAAACTGAGAAGCCATTAAAAAAAAACTTTTCCTTAAAAATTAGACCCGCACTAAAATTGCAAATTTTCTCATTATTATTTGGCGAATTTTCTGTAATTCTGCGTTTTATTATTTATAAAATTTTAGAATTAGATAGAAATAATATATATTCACATTTTTGCTTTTATAAAATTTTGATTTTAAGAGAAAACAAGTATCGCGGATTTTCTTATGGCCATTGGAATACCAAAAGAAAATTCCAAAAAATGTAGAAAATATACCGTACAGGAAAGTTGCACAAAAAAACGTACAATTTTGCACCAGACGCCCCTAATCACTTTTTTTTACTCACCCTGTATATACTATAATTTTGCAATTTAATTTCTTTTGAGTGAGTTGATCATTTTTGTTCTTTTTTTGTTCATTTTGACAAAAAAAAAAATTCTCGTCAATTATAAAACCACTGGTCAGTGATTAGTGAGGTTAATGCTTGATATATTTACGTGAATACATTTTTTACATTTATGTCAAGTTTAATTTGTTTGAACGAAAACAAAAAAGAAACTGATTTAATTTATCCGAATATAGACTCAGCTACCCTTCAGGCTGTACACTGTACAGGGTTCTGTTTTTAGTTGTATGCATTGTAAACACTTTACATTTTAACGATTTGTGCGCGGTAAACTTACCTGTTTAAACACGGACTGTTTGAGAGCGGAGATAAGGTTAAAGAACCGTTCCTGCTCCAGGTCCTGGAATACATCCTGCTCCGGGCTCTCCTCGTCCTCAATATACGAGCTCACCGCCAGGGGGTAGGAGGTCTGGTAAACCCTGAAGTAAAAGATTCATCAATGGGAGCAAAAAACGAAATATATTTTAAAACTCAGCTTTAAGTAAAACTGTTGAAGAATATGTTCACATTATAGAGTATAGAAGTGCCTTGGTTGTAATTATAAGTGACCATTTATTAAATTAAAATGGCTGCAGGCCCCGATTCACAATGGTACCCAGAATATAACGTAAGATTCGGAAAGTATCGTCATTTTTAAGATAGAAAAGTGTAAGATTTTATAGATTCTGACAAAATCTTCAACTTTCTCTGAAGCCGAAATCCGCAAGTCACTTTACCGGGAAACCCCGATTGAAAGCTCATAAATTATTGAATATAAAAAATGTTCGCCGAAAATTTCGCATTTCGTTAGCTAGCGAAAAATGCGAAAATTTTCACCAAACGTTTATTAAAGTAAAAAGTGAGAAATTGGCAATTATGATAAAGGAAAACTTCTGATACTGAGCTTCTTATGCGCATCTAGTCGTTGCAGCTACAATACCTAAGGTATTCGCGGAGTTTTTTTTCTTTCATGAAAAAATGCGAAATTTCGCGAAAAACGAAAAAAAAAATTTTGCATTTTTTTGCATGTTTTCTCAAAAGTTTTCGTTCGCTAGAAACCCTAGACATAACACTAAAGACAGAAATAGGAGTGTCTATTATTTTTCTTTTACCTGGAAAGGCTGCCGTTTCTTTCGTACATCTTTAACTGGCTGATCTTGTCGGTTCTTACAGTAAATCAGATTCAGATTCTTCGGTAATATTAGTTTTAGAGATCGCTATTTGTTCACTTCTTTTATCCCAACTATGTTTTCGTCATTGCGCCATTACTTTTCTGAAATTATTTTTATTCAATCTAAATTTTTAAATGGATTTAATACCGTGAAATTATAGAATGCATAAGCTCTGGTTTTAGGACAGATAAAATACTTTTAGGGACAGATAAACTAGTGTTAGGGACAGATAAACTAGTGTTAGGGACAGATAAACTAGTGTTAGGGACAGATAAACTAGTGTTAGGGACAGATAAACTAGCGTTAGGGATGGATAAACTTAGTTTAGAGAAAGATAAACTAGTTATATGACGGATAGCCTAATTTTAGAACGAATAAACGCAAGTTAAGGGACGGATAAACTAGGAATAGGACGGATAGCCTAGTTTTAGGACAGTTAAACTACTGTTAGGAACGGATAAACTAGTGTTAGGGACTGATAAACTAGTGTTAGGGACTGATAAACTACTGTTATGAACGGATAAACTAGTGTTAGGGACTGATAACCTAGTGTTAGGAACGGATAAACACTTATTTCAAGACGACTAAACTCTCGTTTCAGGTTGGATCAAATCTTGTTTCAGGACGGATGAACTCGGTTTGTTTCAGGGCGGATGAACACTTGTTTCAGGACAGATAGACTTTGGTTTTAGGACGGATTTAAGTTTGGAATTAGTTCAGATAATCTCTAGGAGACCCAATCCGTCTGCGGAGTATCCAGGTACTGTTCTCCTATACTGCGTTTAAGGATAAAGGAGGATAATTTTGCACATCAGGTTGTAATCAGACTAATCAGGAACATATACAGGACACCTGTGACATAACTTAATCTTTCTTAATTGAATCATTAACTGCATTAAGATTCTGTTTCTCTTTGTTAGAACTTTATAGAATAAACAAAACGAAAAATGTGAATCAACAAAAATGTTCACAATATTCAAGCCAGTAACTTTGATCTACTGACTTTAGTCAACTAAGTGTAAATTTGTGTACATAATAAGAAAAAATAACTCGTTTTTAATATGTACAGTACATAATATGAATATGAAGCGTACATTGGAAAGGGGTAATTAAAAGTTTGTTAAAAAACTCTCAAATGTCCGGGGATGTGACAGAGAAATATGATTGAATTAATTACTTACAGGGTGTCCATAAAACATGACAGTTGGTGAATAGTTTTAAATTTACGCGTTAACTGTATCATCAGTGGGCTAAGTGTAAAACGTAAAAAAATTGAATTCAAAGCTTTCAATCATCGTAATTTAAATGTTTATTAATGAGACTGTAGAGCGAATACGTCCAATACCAGATGTTAACTGCCTCATTTTCAGAGTTAACTACCTCATTTTCAGAGTTAACTACCACATTTTCAGGGGAAGTATCTCATTTTCGGAGTTAACTACCTCATTTTCAGAGTTAATTACCTCATTTTCAGAGTTAACTACCACATTTTCAGAGTTAACCACCTCATTCTTTCAGAGTTAAATACCTCATTTTCAGAGTTAAATACCTCATTTTCAGAGTAAACTACCTCATTTTCAGAGTTAACTACCTCATTTTCAGAGTTAACTACCTCATTTTCAGAGTTAACTACCTCATTTTCAGAGGTTCCCTTCAAACCTTTTTTGGAGTAACAATGTGGAAAATATCGTCGTTTTCTCTCTGGCAGCAACTCTATCTATTTTCTCCCTCGTAAGCTTCAGTAACTTCAGTAACTTCTATAAAGAAACCACAACATAAATTTATCAGTTTTCAGATAAGATGAACAAGAATATGCTGATAATTTTTGCAACTTTATAAATTGTTTTCCCATTCTGCAAGACTGAAATGGTCTAAGATTAATACACTTTATATCATCTATTTACATAATTTTATCCTTTTAGCTGATAAACGAGGATTATAACGAATTATAGTTTATAATAACGATGTATTAAAATGACCATGACAAGTGACAGCTATTATTAAACAAACAAACGAACCCCCCTTTCTAAAAAAAATGTTCACTTCAAAAATCCCAATTTTGCTCCAATTTATAGGTTTTGAATTTTTAATTTGCTTTGATCACATTATATACAAAGTGTTCCAAAAAATATTAGATAATCTCAAAGAATAAACGCGAAACTATATATATTGCTCAAACGCCCTTGTATTTTATATCTGCTAATTTGAAATCACCAGTAAAAATAAACTTTGTTTTAATCTTTTTAAATTGTTTGTTACTAGGCTTTAAGGGTGCTTTGCGCCCATCGTATATTTCAATTGGGAACATTTTCTCTTTGTATTCATTGTAATACAAAACCAAAAAAAAAAGTTTGCGAATTTTATAAAAAATTTCGTTTTTTTATTAATAGAAATCGAATTTTGCTGGAGACAAATTTTTGAAATTTTGATCATTCATAAACCTTCCCTGGGGACATGTAAAGTCCCACACAAAATTTGGACCCGATCGTATCAAACAAACAAACGAACACCCATGGACGAGCATAGTATATATAGATGTCCCAAAAATTCCAATATGGAGCTTTCCCTTCGATTCAATATGATATGAGACACCCAGAGACACCCTATATTTTCACGTTAGCTCTGTTGCAAACTCGAAGTGACTGTCGACTGTCGACTGTCGACTGATTAGGATTGACAACATGTTTCGAACTTTTATACTTCTTAGTTGCAATGTCTATGGGTCAACCCGTATACGCTGGTTGACGGGGAAGGGGGGGGGGGGGGGGTTAGAAATACTAAATCTTTTATCCGATTCGTTAAACAATCTCCATCTGTGGGTTAGCTGCGATTTCCCAGGCTGGCTAGGCGAGGAAGTCGCAGCTAAATCACAGCTAGAAAACGTAATTTCAAGATACGGTTACTAATTTATTATTTTCATTTCTGCTTTCTCTACAACCCCGCCTTGCGTATTTCTTGCTTCAGAATCATAGAAAAATATTTAGCGTAAAAAAGTTTGCAATCAAAAAAAGTTTCCACATTGTTGCTTAGATTATAAAGGTTTAAGGGGTACCATTCTAAATCCGACATGACATGTGTCCGTCTTTAGTTAAATCTACAATCCCTTTAAGAATAAACCTTTTTGATTTATAATTTCGATTCAAGCTAAGTTTTCCAATTTGTTAACTATGATTTGTATGATTGTTTTTCTTCAAAACAACTGATTTCGACATTATCTCAAAATTATAATTCCTATATTTTTGCAACTTGATCACAAAATTAATAAAGGCCGGGTGTATATTTAAGCAACTTCCCCATATAAGAGGTAACACTGTAACACAAAGTTGCTTCAAGGATCGGTTTGTACTATCTGAATCCATGGATTAGAAATAAATTGGATTGACAAAAAATAAATCATCTACTTTTATCTTCATCTGACAAAAATGTTCTAAAAACTCGTCTGTTTGAAAGTGTTAAATGTTAATTGCTGACCAAGTCATAAATATATGGCTAACAGCTGGTTTACGCGCCGCGGTATAAGATAAGGTTTGGTTTACACCCGGCATAAGATAAGATTTGGTTTACGCGTGGTATAAGATAAGGTTTGGTTTACGCGCGGTATAAGATAAGATTTGGTTTACGCGCCGCGGTATAAGATAAGATATTAAACCCTTCTCCCCCCCCCCACCTCACCCCCCCCTCAAAAAATGTTTACCTAATATATATCACTGGAATTACTATATATGTGTTCACTGTTTATTGTACCAATGCATGTCCATTATAATTAAATCCAGATATTTCTTAGAAGTTTCGAGGTGTATTTACATTTAATATTTCTGCAATCTGCATAAATAAATAATATATTTATACACATAACCTTAATCCCTTCCCCTTACCAACACCTCCCCTCTCTTCACTCTCCTCTAAAGCAAGAATTTGTCGGCCATATTTAAAACCTAAAAGGTGTATCTGCGTAAATATAAACTTTCATGAATTTAAGGCGCAGTTCAACATTCTTACAAACATTGGTCAAAAGAAAAGAAACCTAAATTTAACACTTTTCCTTGGGTGGGTTTAGTGAGTGAGTAGGCCACGGGCGTTGGGGGTTGGTCGTAAACCCGAAATTATTGGTCAAAGGTTTTTTTTATTTTATCTCACTTCTCAATGCTTTGAAATATAATGCATATGTAATTAAAATATGATTAAATATGATTCATTAACAAAAAAAAGGGATAGGGGAGCAATTTAACCGCGATCCCGCGGCACGCATTGAAACTATTGATATAATTTCACATATTTACCAAATAAAAATTCGCGCATTTTCGTTTATTTTCCGTCATCATATTTGTCAACATTTCACTTATGTTTTAAAAAGTTAAAAAAAATAAAAATATTTTTAAAGTGTATTCGAACATAAATTTTACTTTTAAAGTACTTTGGTAAAATTAGACTTAAAAAAACAGTTAGAAGACACCTTAACCGCCTCAGTTTCATGTGGTTACACTGTAGTAAATGCCCTACTCAAATCCGTATCAATCCAGGTATAGCTCAATGTTCTCAAACCCGTATCAATCCAGGCATATTAATGAGGGGTAATTTGGATTTGTAAAAAAAGGTTGATCAGCCTTAGATACTGATATCAAAGATCAAAGGCGATCTTTTAGTTGTCTGACAACTGTCATGTTTATTGAGACACCCTGCGTCATCTATACATATGTTCATGTTTATTGGGATACACTATATCAACTATATATATAGTTATGTTTTGTAGGACACCCTGTATCAGTTATACATATGGTCATGTGTATTGGTACACCCTGTATAAGCTACACATATGGTCACGTTTATTGTGACACCCTGTATCAGTCATATATATTGCCACGTTTATCGAGACACACTCTATCATCTTTACATATGCTCATGTTTATTGGGACACTCTGTATCAGCCATACATGTTTTTTTATTAGGACACTCTGTATCAGCCATACATGTGGTCATATTTCTTAAGACACCCTTTATCAGCCATACATGTGTTCATGTTTATTGAGACAACCCTGTATCATATTTATACATGGTCATGTTTACTGGGACACCCTGTATCAGCTATACAAGTGGTCATGTTTATTGAGACACCCTGTATGAGTCATACATGTGATCATGTTTATTAGGACACCCTGCATCCGCCATACATGTGGTCATGTTTATTGAGACATCCTGTATCTGCCATACATGTGATCATGTTTATTGGGACACCCTGCATCAGCCAAACATGTGGTCATGTTTATTGAGAACCCTGTATCAGCCATACATGTGGTAATGTTCATTGGGACACCCTACATCAGCCATACATCTGATCATTTTTATTGGGACACCCTGTATCAGCCATACATGTAGTCATGTTGATTGAGAACCCTGTATCATCCATACATGTAGTCATGTTGATTGAGAACCCTGTATCATCCATACATATGGTAATGTAAGAATAGGAAGTTATGCCGAGGAACCCCGGCTTGATAAGACACCAGATATGTCTCTATAGTCTCAAACAATTAATTTGGTTCAACTAAGTAAAGGAACTGTTCTTGTGATTTCCCTTGACCCTCCAGTTAAAGAGAGCCATACAGTACCCTTTAACAATACCCTTTAAACCTTCATCTTTCAAATAATTTGAACGACAAAGTCGTTTTCTAGCTTTAACAGTGTTCGATTAGCACAATTTCCTGAATGGTTTCTGAATGATGTATATTTTATGAATATTTTATTTATTATATTATTAATCAGTAACGCGTATATAGGTATAGTTGTGAATTGGACATGACATTCTAAAAAGTGCGGATTTAACAGTTCGGTCCTTATCCCAGCAAGCTGTGACTTTCGATCCCAATTTGACCTGTTAAACAAAGCTTTTTTGCCTTGAATTTCTTATACTTTTATTACGGCGCTATGTCATTTGTCCTACAATCAATTGTCCTGCGATCATTTGTCCTACACATCATTTGTCCTACACTTCAATTGTTCTACACATCATTTGTCCTACACATCATTTGTCCTACACATCATTTATTCAACACTTCATTTGTTCTACACATCATTTGTCCTACACATCATTTGTCCTACACATCATTTGTCCTACACATCATTTGTCCTACACATCATTTGTCCCACACATCATTTGTCCTACACCTCATTTGTCCTACACAATTTGTCATACACATCATTTGTCCTACACATCGTTTGTCCTACACATCAATTGTCCTACTGAGAGAGAGAAACATCATTTGTCCTACAATTCAATGGCGCTCTACATAATTTGTATTACAGAGAGAGGATAAATTTGATGCGTCCTAAAATTCATTCTATTGTAATGTTTTAAAAGTTGAATCTACTTTTTTTATTTTAATAAATTTGCTGTGATCTCATCGTATTTTGGGTTAGGTCGGGTTAAGACAAGTTCTGGGCCAAGTGCTGCAGCTAGGATGGGCTAGGGGGGCGAGCGCTGCGGCATCTTTAATGTTAAATTATATGTTGTCTCTCATCTTATTTTGGATTTTGGGTTAGGTTAGGTTAAGACAATTAATGTATTAATATTAATATAAACTATATACAAATGTGGCGAAAGATAATCGATGACTATAGGTTTTAATATCTGAATGATTTGTTTGAAATTAAAATTATTTTTTTACGGTCTAAGTTGTATGTTGCAATTTTCTGATTTTGTTGGGCGCTAAGTTATTCGGTATGAGACGTCTTTAACAAGTTTCTCCTTATAGACGCAACAGATAGAAGTAAGATTAGTAGCGATTAAAAGCGCTTTTTTATCGCAGTAAGCCTATACCCCCTTTCATTTTTCACGAACACTCCCTTTAAGGCAACTCAGTAAGTTCAAAGATTGGGGAATTCAAGACAAAACCCGCGAAATTGAAATAGAAGAAACCAAAAACATCTCAACCTGGCTAGTCCATTGGAGTCCAGGGTAAGTGGCTAGTCCACTGGAGTCCAGGGTAAGTGGGGTCACTTGAAATTACGTCTACAGTCCCTTTAAAGATGTCAGGCATTTGCAACAATGGAGCTGGGTTTGCATGCATCAAAGAGGTAATTGTCCAAAAAATTTCATTATTTTTTGCAGATTAGCTGTAACCCTAAAAAGGCTGGAATTTCATAAAACATGGATGTATTCAAGTTACAAAGAGTAAGACACCCGCCTCCCTCAAGCCTTTTCAGGGTTAAGCAATTTGAGAAACTTTCAAATCGTTTTCTATTTACGATAAAGAGATTCTTAAACACATGATTCCATTACTTTGGGATTTCCGAAATGTGGTCTGCAAAATCAACCTTTCAAATTTTTTAATCATTTGGTCGTAGTTTCAATTACTAGATACTTAGCCAAAACATTTTCAACTTTTATCATTATGATTGCAGGGACACGGTGCAATCTTATTTAGAATATCATGTCAAAATGTTTTTTTATTTAAAGATTTATATAGCTAAGAATCAAAAAAGATAAATGGATCAAATGAAAATCTAACAAATTCTCAAAAATATGAATACATTCTTTTATTAGTCCATGGAAGAGATGATAAAAACAAATAAAGAAATAGAAGAAGAGATAAGAATAGAAAAGAAGAAAATGAAAAATAGAATCAAAATTCTTCTGCTGGGTTGTGGGGAGGCAGGGAAGGTAATTTTAACCCTACAGAGTACAGGGTTACCCACAAAGAAAGTAACTTTAAAGACGACCTAAAACTCTTTCAATCAAACGATCTAAAGATTTGTTTTGGATTTCTGCATTAAATAATAGTTTCTTAATAGAATATTAAATGGGTTTGCAGAGAAAAAAGTTTTGATGTTAGAACAAAGATCAAATAAATTATAAACTATCGTATCTAATCTAATTTTTTGAACACAAAGCAAAATAAACATTTCAACACTGACTTTGACCATGAAATTGAATTTTTTTGTCTTTACTTTGACCATAAATTAAACTTTTATTTTGGTCTTGACCTTGATTAGGAAACTCGCCTTAACTTATTTAACCTTGACTTTGACCTTACATTGCTATTTAGTCTTAAAGTTGACACTGACTTCAGCCTTAAAGGAACTGAGTTTTTGCCACAAACTCTAATTCGTTAATCCCTATATCTTTGCAACCTGATGGTGTAAACCTTTGATATTTCAAACTTAGACTATATGTTCTAACATAATTTATAATAAAAAATCTCCAACATCGCGGGTTGCAAAGATATAGGGATGTGAAAATTAGAACTTTGTGGCAAAAACTCAATTACTTTGTATATGGCCTTTGCTATCCACTACCTTAATCTTTAATTTAACTTTTACTTAAACCTTGAACTTGACTTTGCACTTGACTTGGACAATGACCTTGACATTAACACTGTTACTATTGTTAAGTCTACCTTTATCAAACAAATGAGAATTATTCACGCTGAGAAGAATCAGAGTCCTTGGACAGATGAGCAGCTTAAACAGTACAGGTAACATTGTTTGTTTACATAATATAAATTGTTTGTTTACATTTTACCAACAAAGTTTGTTTAATTCAAAATCGAAATTATTTGTCTACATTCCCGGCCACATTGTGTTAATATTTCCCAATTGTTAGTATGCATTTGTTTGTTAACAATTTACCCAAATTGTTGGTTTACATGTTATACCATATTGTTGGTTTACATTTTATACCATATTGTTGGTTTACATTTTATACCATATTGTTGGTTTACATTTAACGGGTTTAACCCACATTGTTGGTTAAGATTTCAACCCATATTATATGTTTACATTTTGACCTAAAAGTTTGTTTACATCATTACCCAGCAATTGGTTTACTATTTCATTCAAAACTACGACTATCATGGAAATCTATTTTCTAGATCAGATGTGTTGAGGAACTGTATACAATGTATCCAAATTCTACTGAATCAAAATAATGAAGATCTACCAGTAGGATACCAGACCAGAATATTGCTAGGTAGGATACCAGAATAATGCTAAGTAGGATACCAGAATAATGCTAGGTAGGATACCAGAATAATGCTAGGTAGGATCCCAGAATATTGCTAGGTAGGATACCAGAATATTGCTAGATAAGATACCAGAATAATGCTAGGTAGGATACCAGAATAATGCTAGGTACGATACCAGAATATTGCTAGGTAGGATACCAGAATATTGCTAGATAAGATACCAGAATAATGCTAGGTAGGATACCAGAATATTGCTAGGTAGGATACTAGAATAATGCTAGGTAGGATACCAGAATATTGCTCAGTAGGATACCAGAATAATGCTAGGTAGGATACCAGAATAATGCTAGGTAGGATACCAGAACAATGCTAGGTAGGATACCAGAATATTGCAAGATGAGATAACAGAATAATGCTAGGTAGGATACCTGAATATTGATAGATAAGATACCAGAATAATGCTAGGTAGGATACCAGAATATTGCTAGATAAGATACCAGAATAATGCTAGGTAGGATACCAGAATATTGCTAGATGAGATACCAGAATAATGCTAGGTAGGATACCAGAATATTGCTAGATGAGATACCAGAAAAATGCTAGGTAGGATACCAGAATATTGCTAGATAAGATACCAGAATAATGCTAGGTAGGATACCAGAATATTGCTAGATAAGATACCAGAATAATGCTAGGTAGGATACCAGAATAATGCTAGGTAGGATACCAGAATAATGCTAGGTAGGATACCAGAACAATGCTAGGTAGGATACCAGAATATTGCTAGATAAGATACCGGAATATTGCTAGGTAGGATACCAGAATAATGCTAAGCAGGATACCAGAATAATGCTAAGTAGGATACCAGAATAATGCTAGGTAGGATTCCAGAATAATGCTAGGTAGGATACCAGAATAATGCTAGGTAGGATACCAGAGTAATGCTCGGTAGGATACCAGAATAATGCAAGGTAGGATACCAGAATAATGCTATGTAGGATACCAGAATATTGCTAGATAAGATACCAGAATATTGCTAGATAAGATACCAGAATATTGCTAGGTAGGATACCAGAATAATGCTAAGTAGGATACCAGAATAATGCTAGGTATGATACCAGAATATTGCTAGGTAGGATACCAGAATAATGCTAGGTATAATACCAGAATAATGCTAGGTAGGATACCAGAATAATGCTAGGTAGGATAAGAATATTGCTAGGTAGGATACCAGAATATTGCTAGGATGCAAAAAATGAAGCAAGCTTCTTTTTAGCATAAGTTTAAATGCGTAATTGGAAAAATATTACTCGATTTTTGCGTGAGAGCGCGCACATCATTTTTGCGGTAATATTTAATGTAAATTTTGAATTTGAGTTATAAAGTTATATTTGAATTCTAGTTATTAAAAAATCTCTAGATCTATATATATATATTATATACATGGTCAAACTAATTTATTTTTTCTTTTAAAATCAGTAAGCTGATGGAACTGCTGGCTGAAAATCCTAAAGATCAAGATCGACTTTTTCAGCACAGGTAGAAGTTTTAATCTTTAACAAATTTTTATATATGATATGATAATTTCTAATATATGAAAAGTGTTATTTAAAGGAGAAAATATTCTTTTTTAATTATTATGGTTTTATGAAATGAAGTCAAGTATCTTTGTAAAGTGTAAAGAGTAAAGACAATTAATTTTGTTGTTGTAGTATGTCGTCTTCCACTTAATTAGTCGGCAGTTATCATCAATTTATAAAAGAAAGTTCAATGTATGTCAAGTGTAAAGTTTTCTTCAATTAATACTTTATATTGTTTTGGTTTAACATGTTTTTTTTTAATTTTTTGTCTTTTCCAGTTGCAGTTAGTTAAAGCATACACAAACTTACCGAAATTTCGAATTTTCGACATTTTCAAGATACAGTGATAACCAGAAAATATATTTTCAAGATACAGAGATAACCATAAACTTGTAAATAATAGTCGCCTTCATCCTTCCTTTGAGAAATATCGCTGAAGACTTTTTAGAGTATTACTATTAATATATCTCTGAAAGTATTCGATGCAAAGTTTTAGAAATAAATTAGTTACAAACTTTTATAGAATTCTTTATTGCTTAATTTAAAGGTTGAAAACGAACGTCATTCGATCCACTATTTTTTGCTTGCCACTGTACACAAACGCAATTATTTCTTTAACTACCAAATATCAAATATTAATTTTGCAGAGGCGTTAGAGAGGGGGGTGGGGGCCTGGGCCCACGGCAACATATATATGATGTGTTGTTTTATATTAGATATACTATATATAGTTATGCTAATATGCATGCCATCTGGTCGTGTGTCTCATCATAAATCATAAATCATAAATGTATATCTCTCTCTTAAAAAAGGAAATTATAAAATGATTATTTTTTTATTTTTGAATTATTTTTCTTTTTTAACATTTGAAAAATCAGAAACACCTTTTTATTGTTTAATAAAAATGGTCTTTGAAAATAAAAAAATCTGAATTAAGAGTCTGATGCAATTGTTATAATAGTGCTTGGGAAAAAAGGAGAATCCTTAACCCTTTTCCTGCTGCAGGGGGGGGGTAATTTTTTTCCCTGGAACAACCTAAATTTTAGTTTTTAACCAAGTTCAGTTATTAGATTTTGATAACTTTTAGCTTTTTGGAAAACATATGACATTAGGAAACGGATTGCACAAGTTTTGCAAAGAAACTTTTTGCAAATTATTTGCAAAAGAAACTTGCACATTTTTAGTTTTTCTTAATGAAACATCGGGTTATTAAAGAATTTGCAAATTATTTGCATATTTTAATGGCATGGTCAAGGGCTTAACAAAAATGTAAATTTTATCAATTTTTGGACATTTTTTTGCAAACATTTTAACTTTATAACTGGATTTTGCAAAAAAAATCTATTTTTGTTTTGCAAAGAGCTTTCTAATAATGCATCATTTGCAATATTTGGACATCAAACATGGAATTTGGAGGGGGGGGGGGGGTCAAATTGACCCCCCCCCCAGCATATCCTGGTTTTCAAGTACCCCAGGAGGGACAGTGTTGAGTTAAATATTTTATACAGTGATAACCAGAAAACAAATGAATAAAAAGACGACATTATAGCAATACTTCACCCTCAACTAAGCTTTCGGTTTGAACTGCAGTAATCTGCTGGACTCTGATCTTTTAGTGAACAGTGTTTTGATGTTGTTACAAAGCAAACATTTTTATTAGTAACTTAGCAAAGAACAATTAAAATGAAAAGATCTATTTACACTGTACAATTTCTATGTCTAATGTTCATTGAACTAGTTTCAGTCCTAACTCCTAACTTAAGTTTAAAAGTCGTCTTTCTATTGCAGAGTTTTCTGGTTATCACTGTAAAAGTTTATTAAAATGTAAAAATGTAAAATGTTAAAAAGGCAAAAATGTTCCATATTGTTTATTATGGAAAATTCGTTTTTATTGGTAATCAGTTTAAATTCCTATTCAAATTGTGAATTGGACAGCGACTTGATTGTTTATTTCTTAATTACCGATAAGATACTTAAGCTTAATTGATCTCAATAAAAATGTTTCATTTTTGATGTAAATCTCGAAATGTGATAATAAATAATAAATTGGAAAGGAATTGAATCTTTGTAACAAAATTAAATATTTAAACCCCGATATCTTTAGAACCCGATGTTGCAAACCTTCGATATTTCAAACTCTGATTATTTGATTTAACAGAATTCATAGTTTGAAATATCTAAGGTCTACAACATTTGGTTCCAATTATTTTTATTATTATAAGGAAGTGTACAGAAGAAGAAGAGAATTTGATCTACCAGACTGCTGCGCATATTTTCTAGACAATATTCAAAGGTTTAAATATATTTTTTATACTATTTAAACGTTTTAATGTATTAAATTTTTATGTAATATTTACATAAGTTAAGATAACTAAAAAAATTGATAATTGAAATATTTTTGTTTCTAAACGATTTTCATTTTTTCTTATACTTTGAAGGGATCATCAGCTTAATTATAATTGACCATCCATGCAAAGTATGAGTAGGAAATCAAATGTTTACAATTTTCAAAAACTACAGAGGTAACCAGAAAAAAAACGGAATAGGAAGCAACATTAAAGCGGAAACCGGAGAATTTTAGGAGTAGAACCATATCTATAAGACTTGTGTTCCTGTCTCGAAAAATAGACATAAAACTGTGTCAAAATTATACTAAAACGTATATATGTAAGATATACGTCTGTATCACGTGACCAGAACTCCCTCCAATGGCAGTGCAGTAAACTGGTCACGTGAAACAGACGGAGACATATGACAATAATACTGCACTGGGAGTGCTGGTATAAATAATATTATCAATAATATCTATTAAAAGTTAAAAAGTATTAAATTCCAATGATAATAGGAGCAAACCTGAGCTTCTCAGACTCCGCTGGGATATGAGAAGCTTCTGGGATATCTGCGTTTTCAGATTGGTTGCGCATTTGTGAATATCTGTTTAATCTTATACAAAATCTTACATTTATACGTTTTGGTACGTTTTGACACAGTTTTATATCGATTTCTCGAGACAAGAACATCATAAAGAACTCTTGCAGGTCTCAATCAGATACTGAGATTCTTAGCCTATACCCCCTTACATTTTTCCTTTACAGTCCCTTTAAGTGTATTTGATGTTGTTACAAAGCAAATAGTTTTATTAGACACTTATTGAATCAATAATTTAGTATAGAATGGTTTTGTTCATGGGACTTTTAAAACTTACAACTTGATTCTAAAAGTCGTCATCCCATTTCAAAGTTTTCTGGTTTTCACTGTGATTATTTTCAATTGTGATTTCTGTGCAAAAGTGACTTGTGCATTTTCTACTGCAGAAAACATACAGGAATTGAAGCTATATAACTTCAGTATCTTTAAAGGGTGACCAGCCAGGATTATTTACCGACAGATCAAGATATTCTTCAAATCAGGTGAAGCTATATAACTGCAGTATCTTTAAAGGGTGACCAGTCAGGGTTATTTACCGACAGATCAAGATATTCTTCAAATCAGGTGAAGCTGTATAACTGCAGTATCTTTAAAGGGTGACCAGTCAGGGTTATTTACCGACAGATCAAGATATTCTTCAAATCAGGTGAAGCTGTATAACTGCAGTATCTTTAAAGGGTGACCAGTCAGGATTATTTACCGACAGATCAAGATATTCTTCAAATCAGGTGAAGCTGTATAACTGCAGTATCTTTAAAGGGTGACCAGTCAGGGTTATTTACCGACAGATCAAGATATTCTTCAAATCAGGTGAAGCTATATAACTGCAGTATCTTTAAAGGGTGACCAGTCAGGGTTATTTACCGACAGATCAAGATATTCTTCAAATCAGGTGAAGCTGTATAACTGCAGTATCTTTAAAGGGTGACCAGTCAGGGTTATTTACCGACAGATCAAGATATTCTTCAAATCAGGTGAAGTTTATAATACGGTGAAGTACTTTTGTATTTCTCAAACTCTTGACTCTAGCGCTCATCCGGTTCGTTTTAAGCGGTTCAGCATAGTGAATAGTGATGTGTCCCTCATGGTAGCTTGTTTTCTGGTAGTTTTTTTTATTTTTCTTTATATTTTCTTTCTAGGTTAAAATGTGACGCTGCAAGAAAAGCAAATATTTTTAACTGTTAATTCTAAAAAAATTTTTACAATGTCAAATTTGGACCCTGGGAGACCCTGGCAAAAAACGACCCCAAAACGATTCAAAAACGATGCGAAAACGAAAATGTCGTAAAAATCGTTTTCAGAACGTTTTTGCACTTTTTATTTTTTTTCAGATATTGCTAAGTTTGATAAAAGTAAAAAACCTCAGTTAAAAAGTAAAAAGTAAAAAACCTCAGTTAAAAAGTAAAAAGTAAAAACCCCAGTTAAAAAGTAAAAAGTAAAAAACCTCAGTTAAAAAGTAAAAAGTAAAAAACCCCAGTTAAAAAGCTTGCATAGTGAATCTCAAGTTCAGTTACTGAAGCTATACATCATATATAGGATATCCTTGATAAGAGTTTTGCCCTAGGGAATCGTCAGATTTACAGCGTTACTAAGGGTGAGGCTTGGAGACGATTGAATGGAATTTATATTTAAAAGTTCTTGATATTAATGAGTTCTTGTGACTGTAATCTTGTTTCTTTCGTCGTCATATTAATAAAAAATTCATTGAAGACTTTATTTATTCTGCAGAAAATTTAATTCAATTTCTTGTGATCGTCATATTTCAAGTCGTATTTACAGTCTCATCTTTGGTGAGTAATTCTGCCATTTTATCAAAACTAACGCCAACTTGTGAACTACAATTTAGTCCAACTGTACAGTTTTTATTGGGCAGTAGTAAGAACTTCTTGTTTTACAGTCGTCGTTTTTCTTCTAAATATTTTTAAACAGTGAGAACTATAAAGTTGTGGAAGAGGATGACGACATTGTATAGCAATATTATGCGCATTTGATGTTTTTATAAAGGAAAAATTTTACCCAAAAGCTTGAACTTAGAACTTAAAATGGGTCTTTACTGAATGCACAACTGAAGTGTCATAAAGTCGTTTTCTTATTCCACAGTTTAATGGTTATCATTGAACATAAAAACACACAAAATCTGTAAAATAATAAAATTAGTAGAATCATGCTTAAATAAATCTTTTAAAAGCAAAACTAAAAGATGAATAAGTTAAAGGACAGAAAAAAAAATTATAATTCAGAAAATATATTTTAATTTTTGTTGCAGAGTGATGACAACTGGTGTAGTGGAATACGCTTTCAAAACTAGTTCAAAAGAGATTATAATGGTAAGGAACAGGGGGGAACAGAGGCTGGGGGACTCCGCTGGGATATGNTTGAGCAAAGGAGTATGATATCAATGGAGCATAAGTGGAAGCAAGGGATCAAAAGAAGAATCAAGGGATCAATGGGAGGCGCAGGAGATCTAAGGATGGAGCTGAAGATCAAGGGACGGAGCAGGGGATGAAAGGAAGGAGCAGAGGATCAAAGGAAGGAGCAGGTGATCAAAGGAAGGAGCAGGTGATCAAAGGAAGGAGCAGGGGATCAAAGGAAGGAACATCGGATCAAAGAAAGGAGAGCATCGGATCAAAGGAAGAAGAAAGGGTATCAAATATGTAGAGGATCAAATGAGCAACGCCTTTGCCTTTAGTTTAACCTTCCTGAGCCACCACTTTTTTTACCCATGGACATGCAGTACTTAATTAATTGGGGAAATCCTGACGCACATACTACTTTAATCTCGTTAAAAGATAATTATTCATTTAGTGTACTCTGTCATTACTGTACTACTTCACAAGGCTGCCTATAAATATAAGTCGGTGCAGTACTTCTTATTTTTAGATAGATGTTGGAGGTCAAAGGTCGGAGAGGAAGAAATGGATTCATTGTTTCGAGGACGTTCTTCTTCTCATGTTCCTATGTGCTGCAAGCGAATACGATCAGGTTACAGATATTTCAACGCTTCACACCTCTCAATCTCTAATATTTTGGTTTTTTTTATCAAAAAGAATTTGGACATTTTTAGTTCAACCGTTTTGATGTATAAACAAAATTTAAACCAAAAAAAAATTCTTAAAAACTCTTTCTTTACGGATCTTTTTGGCCATGTTTACAATTTTCGTTTTTTAAGATTTACGATACCAATATATGCTTATGATTTGCCACAAACTTTTAACAGAAGATTTAGACTAAAGTGCAAGTGTATTTCTAAGCGCCAGGTATCTGCAATACATATATTGGGTAAAACGATATTCTGTAAACCTGCAGTACGTTGTACATTATTATCTTTGTTTGTAAACTTAAACGTAAGAAAACCGTTATTCATCTAAAATACTTTTCAAATGAATACGTAGTATGATTAGCTTAATCATGTGATATATATATNGAGTATACTGGAGCACCAAGAAAGTGAGAGTGGACAAGCAGAATCTCCACCATAACTATTGCTATTGCTATAGATGAGGTGGTTTATAAACAGGATTGTAATTTCTATTAAACCATTGTTTGTAAATTACAAAAGAGGAGTGTTAAAGTTTTGACTGGAGTTTCGCAAGTGAATCTTGGTTTTGATCTTTATTGCTAAGTAGAATCATTGAATTTTAAAAAAATGTAAAAGATTAACAAAAAATTTGTTTTCTTCTTTTTTCTATTTTTATTTATATATAGAAGCGAAATAGCGCAGGCAATAAAAACATCAAATATAATGATGAAAATACAAATTTCGAGTGACATGACACAAACTAAAGTAATCGATTATTATTAATCGATAATTTAAATATTAAATTAAATGAAAATATCAAATACAATGTTTTATGTAAAAGGACAAAAGGAATATTTTAAGATTAGTTAACAACGAGTGTCCTGAAGAGACTGTGAGCGTAGTTTAAAATGACCCTCCATGCAAAAATGACAATGCCCAATTCACAACGATACCCTTTTAAACCTTTATCTGATCAATCATGTGGAAGATACCGTCGTTTTTCTAACTCTTAAATTGTTTATTTCTGTGAGTTTCTTCTTTGCATCTTGAAAACAAAAAATGCGAAAGTCACATTCACACAGAATCCACAGAATAAAAATAAACAGATAAAAGAAACATTAATATTGAAATCCTTAATCAGACAAAGTTTTTAATGGTACTATTGTATCGGGCAGTGACATCATTGTATTGAGGGTCACTTGAAATTATGTTTACAATCCCTTTAATATAAACAAACTTATTGACAGATTAGTTTATTGTTGTTATTAGAGGGATATGTTGGCAAAAATCGTAAACATTATAATTCACACTAAATTACTTGCAATAATATTTCTTAAACAACGACCATTCAGGATTTGATTTGATTTAAAATGACGCCATTTCGTTTCTTTTATTGATGTAATACTTTTTCTTACGGTGTCGGGTGTACATAACTCTAAATCAAGAAATATATGAATCAAGAATGAGGAATAATGTACTGTACTTCATATTTTAAGAATGTATATTTTTTGTTGTTGAAAATTTAGGTTTTTGCATAAATTCAAAACTAATATTCGTGTTTAGCAATAGTAAGGCTAGTTTTTTGATAATTAGTAAGCAAATTTGTTTTTATTTTGGTCAACAAACAGTTTTATGAAAATCTGTTTTCTTTTCAAAACTTGCCATTTTCCAACATTCCAAGTCATTTTTTTATTCAGGGTTTGAATTTTTCTTTTTGTTTTTCAGAAATGGTTTGAACTTTTTGTTATTAAAGACAAAACATCAAAATAAATCCAATATATTTTCTAAAGCCAATAAATGAAACTACTAATTCCTGATGTGGGGGTTTCCTATAGTAATATATTTATTGAACACCGAACATTTCTGAGTGGATTCATTTAAACAAAATGGCGCTATTTTGTAACCAACCATTTTTACATAACAATCCTGTTTAAGGTTCAGAGATTTCGAACAGTACAAAGATCGGGATTTTAAGTCTGCAATAGCGTTTATAAGGGTAAGGTTTTTGTTCCCAATAAAATTATCACTTTTTTAATTCTAGAATTTATCTAAATTTTGTCTTCGTTCGAAATTAGAAATGATATTTTTTAAGCTTGAAAAAAATGTAATAGTTTAAATGTTGGAGCTATTGCATTTTATCTCTTAGCAAGCCAAAAAAATTGTTATACTAAATTCTTATCATGAATACTGTATAATATTTGTGTTAAGCTAAATTGCTTTTTAATTGTTTTGATGTCGTCTTCAGAAATATACATTTTGTTTTTATTTTTAGGATAAGTTTTTAAACTTCAAGAACCCAGATGGGTCTTTTGGAATAGGTAAAACATACTTCTATTTGGATATATTATGGCAAGTCAGATAAAAAATGTCTACCTAACGTGACCCCCAGGCTTGAGTGGTTTATGGCAAGTCAGATAAAAAATGTCTACCTAACGTGACCCCCAGGTTTGAGTGGTTTATGGCAAGTCAGATAAAAAATGTCACTCTCCCAATGTTTTATTTTAATATTTGAATTATGAAATTGAAGTGATAAAAAAGAGGTAAATCTGTTTCTTCGCATCTGCTTAACCAATAAAACCATTTATTGGTTAAGCAGATGCAGAACTTTTAGAAATTCGGAGATTTGTTTATTTATAGAAAACAAACATATTTAGATACAAGAACAAGAACTGTTTTTGTTCACAACACTTGCGCAACGGATACAGAAAATGTGAGGAAAGTCTTTAAGGTAATTTTAAAATATATTTTTCTGTATATCTATGCCAAGGTTTCAAGATATCTGGGCCAAAATATCAAAATACGTGGGTCAACGTTTATTTCTTGACAAAAGTATCAAGACGTCTCGGCCAAAGTTCCTAGATGCCTCGGCCAAAGTTTCTAGATATCAAAGTATCAAAGTATCAAGATATCTTGTCCAAAGTTTCATGATATGTTGGCAAAGTTTCTAGATATATTGATCAAAGTACCAAGATATCGTGTCCAAGTCCAGAGTTTCTAGATATATTGATCAAAGTATCAAGATATCTTGTCCAACGTTTCTAGATATATTGATCAAAGTATCAAGATATCTTGTCCAAAGTTTCTAGATATATTGATCAAATTATCAAGATATCTTGTCCAAAGTCTCTAGATATATTGATCAAAGTTTCAAGATATCTTGTCCAAAGTTTCGAGATATATTGACCAAAGTATCAAGATATCTTGTCCAAAGTTTCTAGATAAATTGATCAATGTATCAAGATATCTTGTCCAAAGTTTCTAGATATATTGATCAAAGTATCAAGATATCTTGTCCAGAGTTTCTAGATATATTGATCAAAGTATCAAGATATCTTGTCCAAAGTTTCTAGATATATTGACCAAAGTATCAAGATATCTTGTCCAAAGTTTCTAGATATATTGATCAAAGTATCAAGATATCTTGTCCAAAGGTTCTAAATATATTGATCAAAAATTCTGGATATATTGATAACAGATGCAAGCAATATTGACCAAAGATACAAAATATCTTGGCCAAAATTTCAAAATATTTGGACCAATGTTTCAAGATGTATTGTCTTACTATTAAAGATATCTGGAACAAAATTCAATTAAAATTTAAACATTTCCAAGTTCAAGAAAATTTCCTTGTTAGTATGTTTTGCTAAAACCTTAAAGATGTAAAATTCAAACCATTAAAGTCTAATGGTCAGTAATATAGAGATTTAACTTTTTTAAGGGTTTTTCAACAAAAAGACCCCTGATAACCCTTATTATAATCAATTGTTTAGGATGTAAAGACGACAATATTGGAGAAAAATGTGAGAGAAATGTTATAAAACCTTTAGTATTACAAAAATGTGCTTATTTTGTTTGAAATATTTCATTATTGCTTTAAACGGCAATAAAAACATGCGTTATCAAATATAATGATGAAAATACTAATTTCGAGTGACATGACACAAACTAAAGTAATCGATTATTATTAATCGATAATTTAAATATTAAATTAAATGAAAATATCAAATACAATGTTTTATGTAAAAGGAAATATCAAAGAATATTTGAAATTCGTCTTGATGGTCTTTGTGCATTCAATGTTCAGCTTACAGTCCCTTTACTTCATTTACATTTACATTGTTCCAGCCTGAATTGTGCACAAAATAACTATAATTTTAACTTTTTACATACCTTACAATTTTTTTAATTAGTTGTTTTTGAAGTGGATGAATTTTTGGGCAATTGTGTGACAATATCTTCTCTAGCGAACCAGCAATCTAAAAATTAAAACTAATTGACGTAATTTCATAAGAAATGATACTGTTTGGAAACATTGACTTTACTAAGTTTTTGACTTTGGTTAGAATCTAAACAATTCTCTTTGATGTCATAACAAACAAACTTAACCCTATTCCCGCTGGGGGGGGGTCAATTTAACCCCCCCCCTGTAGTTTTTTTTACATAACTCAAAAAGTATTGGTCTGAGGCTGTTGAAATTTTCTGACTTTTCTTACATACCCAAAGCCCTCCCTTTAGGCCTAAAACCGGGCTTTAATACTAACTGCCTGAGTCCTTAGGCACACTGCCTGAATGACTGCTTTTGCCTGTAGCAAACTAAATCTTTGTTTTGACCCACTTTCACTTGTCAGATTTTGATAAAATTTAGCTTTTTGGAAAGCCTATGACATAAGGAAACGGATTGCCCAAGTTTTGCGAAAAAAAAATTGCAAATTTTTTGCAAACAACCTGTCAAAGAAAATTTGCACATTTTTAGTTTTTCTTTATTAAAAATCAGGTTATTTAAAATTTTGCAAAAATTTTTGCATATTTGAAATGGCATGGTTAAGGGCTTTTCAAAAATGTATAATTTGTCATTTTTTGGACAAATTTTTTTTTGCAAACATTTTTACTATAAAACTGGATTTTGCGATAAAAAATTTAATTTTCGCAAATTTTTCAAATTTTTTTGCAGATTCTAAAAGTAGAGCACAAGAGCTTTCTAATGATGTATCATTTGTCATATTTGGACATAAAACATGGGATTTAGAGGGGGGGGGGAAAAATTACCCCCCCCCCAGCGTATCCTGGTTTTCAAGTACCCCAGCGGGGATAGGGTTAAAGGTTTTTCTTATTCAAACAAATAATAAAAACCAAACAGTATTTCCTTGTTTTTATCCTGATCTCATTAGAAATTCATAATCATTAAAAACCTCTTCCTAAAAAAGAGAAGATTAAAGCTACAGAGATAATACTCATACCTGTGGATACTAAAGAAGACGACTGCTAACAGTCCTAACAATAAACAGAGTATACTGGAGCACCAAGAAAGTGAGAGTGGACAAGCAGAATCTCCACCATAACTATTGCTATTGCTATAGATGAGGTGGTTTATAAACAGGATTGTAATTTCTATTAAACCATTGTTTGTAAATTACAAAAGAGGAGTGTTAAAGTTTTGACTGGAGTTTCGCAAGTGAATCTTGGTTTTGATCTTTATTGCTAAGTAGAATCATTGAATTTTAAAAAAATGTAAAAGATTAACAAAAAATTTGTTTTCTTCTTTTTTCTATTTTTATTTATATATAGAAGCGAAATAGCGCAGGCAATAAAAACATCAAATATAATGATGAAAATACAAATTTCGAGTGACATGACACAAACTAAAGTAATCGATTATTATTAATCGATAGTTTGAATATTAAATAAAATGAAAATATCAAATACAATGTTTTTTGTAAAAGGAAATATCAAAGAATATTTAAAATTTGTCTTGATGGTTTTTGTGGATTCAATTTTCAGCTTACAGTCCCTTTACTTCAAGAAATCTCTGCTTCGTAAACTCGTAAACCCCTTTTGCTTGAACCACAACTTTAAATGAATTCCATCATATATTGCCGAAACAAAAGAAGCAAATCTTTGAATAATATGGTAAATTAAAGTTAGTTACGTCAGTAGTTTCTTTGAGGGAGAAACTGCCATACACGAGTTTATTAATCTTCTGAATGATGTTGTAGAAGGAACTAATTTTAAGGAATTGAAAAATAACTTTTCTGTAATCTGAAATCAATCAAGATATTTTTTATCATAATTTCGAATATTTTTCGGTCCGTTAGATTGTAGATATTACAAACAAAATGCCGCATCTAATTGTCTAATTGTCTTATATTTCTCTAAATTATCTGGTTTCCACAATTCTTTCACAAGCATATCTTCCACTTCATATCATCCACATCAGGACAAGGGCGTATACAGGATATAATATATTCCCGGCCCTTCTATAAATATGATAAATATGTTAGATTCAATGGTAAGTAAGCACAATTTTTTTAAAGCTCTTCGAGTCCGATCGCTTTAGTAGTTTTGGCGTATATTGGAGACAAACAATCAAACAAACAAATAAACAAATAATTAAACAGAGACACCCAGACAAGCAAAGTATATATATATATAGATGTCGGATAAAATATTTGATCTCCATGTTATTAAACTGTTCCTGGCTGACCCCCATCAGCTTCCTAATCAGATGGAGTTGTTCATCTCTACCGTACTCTTCCTTCTTAATGTAGAACCTCCAAATCCAACTCATGTACCAGTATATGTATCTAAGGTACTGTTATTTAGAACCCATTATACGAATCTAGAGTACAGGTATATATAGACCACAGCTCATGTACCAGTATATGAACCTAGAGTACAGGTATAGAGAACACAGCTCATGTACCAGTAAATGTACCTAGAGTACAGTTATTTAGAACCCAACTCGTGTATCAGTATATGTACCTAGAGTACAGTTACTTTGAACCCAACTCATGTATCAGTATATGTACCTAGAGTACAGTTATTTAGAACCCAACACATGTACTAGTATATGCACCTTGAGTACATATATTTAGAACCCAACTCATGTACCAGTATAAAAACCTAGAGTAAAGGTATAAAGAACACAGCTCATGTACCAGTATACCTTTGCAACCTGATGATGTAAACCAATTTTATTCCAAACTTAGAGTATTTAATCTGATAGAGTACATTGGTTTGTCTTTAAATATCTAAAATTATGGTCTACTAAACTGGGTGGAAAATATATAGGGAGGGATAAGTAAATCATAGTTTGTAACAAAGACTCAATTCCTTAAATCAGGAAAATCAACAAACAACAACAAACAACAAAATCAAACAACAAAAATCAACAAACAACAAAATCAAACAACAAAAATCAACAAACAACAAAATCAAACAACAATAATCAACAAACAACAAAATCAAACAACAAAAATCAACAAACAACAAAATCAAACAACAAAAAACAACAAACAACAAAATACTTTTATAATTCAACAAAGTTTTTAGTTTTTATCTAATTAACGATTCGTTCTATTTGATTGAAACAATACCTTAACGGTCTCTCTGTTCGATTTAAACAATGCCCTATATTGGTCTTTCTGTTCGTTTTCGAAGTTTTTCTGTTACTTATTAAAAGAACTTTTCCAACCCAGCCGACTATTATTCAACAATAGGGTTTTCGGTTATACATCCTCTAAAGACGAGTTAGCAGTATTTGGTCAACAGTTATTTTTTGCTTTTTGCTTACCATTATTGTGATTTTTTTTCTGGAAGATTTAAACTCTGATTTAGTTTTAATATATTTTAATAATTCTTCAATTGAATTTATTATTTAATAAAAAAATTCTGTTTAAGTATAGCTAGACAAGTGATCAAATTTCAGCGTAATTGTTTAATGATTTAATGANACCCTACTGAAAGCTAGAGTACGTATCACAATCTCAAAAGCGTTCTGACCATTTAGTTCAAAACTTCCATTCGAAAAGCCAGGAAAGTAAATTACAGAAGATACAATGTCCTGGTTGTCAAGTGGTGTTGATAATAATGATCTGGTAGATAATCTACTTAAACTAGGTGAAATTAAATCTAAACATGTGGTAGATATCATGAAGAAGGTTGACCGGTCCAATTACTGTCCACACAACTCGTATATGGACGCGCCCCAGACCATTGGATTCGGACAAACTATTAGCGCGCCCCACATGCACGCGCGTTGTTTAGATCTACTACGAGAACACCTGAAACCAGGGATGAGAGTGCTTGATGTAGGTTCTGGAAGTGGGTTTCTGACAGCCTGCATGGGCCTGATGGTCGGACCCACCGGAAAGGTGGTCGGTATTGACCACTACGACGGGTTGGTGAAGATGTCTGTAGAGAATATCCGACGGGACGGAAAGGGTTCTCTGCTGGACTCCGGAAGTATCCTACTACTGGCAGGAGACGGTAGGAAAGGATATCCTGATGAAGGCCCCTACGATGCTATACATGTTGGTGCTGCAGCACCCTACCTACCACAGGATCTAGTTGACCAGCTAGCCCCCGGAGGTCGGATGATCATACCTGAAGGACCTGAGGGGGGTGCACAGTCTCTTTATCAGATAGATAAAAGTATGGATGGGAAAGTATCAAGAAAGGAGTTGCTGGAAGTGAATTATGTTCCGTTAAATGATCCTCAAGATCATATAAGATATGATTCCTAAGAATATTGAATTTAAAAAGAATATAGTTTTAGAAAACATTGTTTAAAATGTTTTTTGCTTTGATATGGTCAATCGATTAACTAGTTTTCGTTTGTTGTCAGAAATTTAAAAAAAATTATATTAAGTTTCTTTTCAGAAATCTTATTATAAACACACATTTTTTTAAGATAAAGTACAGAATTTAGTCTCAGAGAATTTTCTATTTTTTATAATTTAGCCATGATTCAAAATTGCTTGGTTAACCTGTTAAATAAATCTAAATAAATAAGTATATATGTTGATGTGAGATGAGAGATGTGAGATGTTCTAGAATAATTAAATAGTTCAAAGGATTTCTTCGCCAAGGGAGGGGGTGCAGAGCCGCAATGAGCCCCGCAAAATGACCTCCTCCTATACTCATAA